TGACCCCAAATTCTAGTATGCTGGGACCAGTGCTCCCTCTAAGCTGTGGAGTCTTGTGAGCAGAAATTCTACTTTGTGAGCTACTGGCATTAAAGTGTTGAGGGATTGATTTGGCTGCTGCATAAAGTAGTTTGCTCTGGAGCCCCGTCCTTCCTGAGCTGAGACAAAAATGGGTGAGCCGGAGGCTAAAAAACTGTGAGCTGGCTCACACTAACTCCGCTTAGAGGGAACACTGGCTGGGACCTTTCTTGGCTATCAGAGGGGTTTTCAAACAGACTCTACTGCAGTTGGGTGTGGGAGGCTCCAGTTCCAAAGCTGGGGGAGGAGATTCTGGGTAGACAGAGAAGAGGTGGTTGGCTTCTTCGAGCCTCCTCCTCTGCCTTGCATCCCCATTAAGAGACGGGGTGGGAGGCTTACGGGATGGCGTCCTGTGACAGCTTTCCAGCTGTGTAATCACAAGTGGCGTTGCCACATTGTGGGATGCTCTAGGATTTCCTTGGAACTCAGTGGTAAAAACTGTAGAGTTTTGGGGAATCCTAGAGCATCCCGTGAAGCGATGTCACCGCATTGCGGGATGTTCTAGGATTCTCCTGGAACTCCATGGTAAAAAAAAATAGAGTTTTGGAGAATCCTAGAGCATCCTGTGATGTGGTGTCGCCGTATTGCGGGACGCTGTAGAATTTCCCTGGAACTCCATGGTGAAAAAAAAAGCCATAGAGTTTTGGGGAATCCTAGAGCATCCCGTGATCCAGTGTCACCACATTGCGGGACAGTCTAGAATTTCCCTGGAACTCCATGGTAAAAAAACAAACATAGACCCTAGAGCATCCCGTGACACAGCGATGTCACTTTTGGCTCTGTGGCTAGAAAGGCCATAATGGGACATCATTTCAGTACCTGCATCTCCCCCCCCCCTTTTGCAAGAGCAAGGGCGGCAAGAGCTCTCTCAGCCCCAGCGGATAAATGGCAGCACTGACTGTCCGTTCCAAGATGTTTGGCTCAGTCCCAGCCACTGGCAACGTGGGAGGCCTGTGTATAGGAAAATTGATTCCTAAAGCCTTCATGTATCCCTTGTGTGATTCCTATAACCTTCTGTATCTCTTGTAATGCTATAGGCTTCATGTTTCCCCCTTTTGGAATGTATGTTGCTGACCCCCTGTTGCTTTGATTTCCTCTCGAGGCCGAAGCATGGCAGAGAGGCACGTAGGCAAAGTGGGTTGGGCTGGTATCAGCTTACTGCAGGAGGATGATGCTCAGACCCAACCTACCCCCCACCCATTTACCATGGCAACGCCAAATTTGGAAAGTACCTGTCTCATTCTGGTTGGCTCCTGGCCAGGGCCGGTATAATGAGATTGGAGTTCAAATTGTCTAACCCAGAGAGAGAGAGCTCAGAACTTTCTGGCTTCTTGTCTGTTATGTGAATCTGTGCCTGTCTATCTGAGGTCTCAGCCATGTGGCCTGAGACAAAGGACTTGCTTGTGAGCTGACCACATGGCTCCATGCTTGTACAAAGATGGAACTCTAGTTTCTAAAGATACTTGGACTATTCCAATGGACTGTATACTTGGACATTTTGGACTATGGATCATCCTGGTAATTATGCATATCTCTAATGTCTAGTTAGGGCCAAAGGGCCATAGGTTTTTCTTGTTTTCAGTATTTCCTGTAGTCTAATTGCAAGTTCTGTGTTAAATAAACTTTTACTCTAGTTATAAATATTGTCTGCTTGATGTGCAAACTGACTCCAAGGCTAAACTCTTGTGCCTAGCTGGCTGTGCTACCATTAAATCTTAAACGTGTATCTCTGAGGAGGTGTTAGAGCTGGGCCTGGTGGTTATTGTATTGCGAATATAGGAGTCCTTCCCTCATTCCTAGACAGGCGTGGGGGCAGGATCCTGTACAGCCTGGGCCACCATGACCGGTGGCTGTGGTTTTGCAAATGCTCGAGCCCGTTCAGAAACAAGGCCTACCTCAAAAATTTGGCAGCTGCCATGTTAAGAACATAAGAGAAGCCAGTGCTGGATCAGGCCAATGGCCCATCCAGTCCAACACTCCGTCACTCAGTGGCCAAAAATACCAGGTGCCATCAGGAGGTCCAGCAGTGGGGCCAGGACACTAGAAGCCCTCCCACTGCTGCCCCACTCAAGCACCAAGAATACAGAGCATCACCTGCCCCAGACTGAGAGTGCCTATCTATACCTTGTGGCTCATAGCCACTGATGGACCTCTGCTACTTTGGTTGTTTTTCTAAATCTGTCCCATATAAAACATTTGTAAACTCCTCTATCCAAAAGGCTGATAGTGGCAGACGACAACAAGTTTGAAAACACTTCACATATGTATGTAAAACCCACCTCGATTAAACAAATTACACCTAAACCGCATCTCCATATCTTACACAAATATTGTCTCGCTGGGGTGTATTGCGATGCCCAGATGAACAGCACCCAGAGGCCCTTTCTGAAAAACAAAGCCATGTCTTACAGGCCCTTCTGAAAGCCCAAAGGGGTTGTCGAATGTCCTCCTGGACATGATTCCAGAAATGGGGAGAGCTACTGCCACCATCCTTTCTCACAGATATGAGGAACAGCATCGGATGAGATGAGACTGAATACACATGGACACATGAAACTGCCAGTTTGGTGTAGTGGTTAAGTGCTTGGACTCTAATCTGGGAGAACCGGGTTTGATTCCCCACTCCTCCACTTGCAGCTGCTGGATGACCTTGGGCAAGCCATAGTTCTCACAAGAGCTGTCCTTGAAAGGGCAGGTCTTGAAAGAGCTCTCTCAGCCCCACCTACCTCACAGAGTGTCTGTTGTGGGGAGGGGAAGGGAAAGGAGTTTGTAAGCCGCTCTGAGACTCTTCTTATATTGAATCAGACCCTTGGTGTCTACTCAGACCGGCAGCAGCTCTCCGGGGTCTCAGGCTGAGGTCTTTCACATCACATCCTACCAGATCCTTTGAACCCGATCCACCGTAGTGGTGGAATGAGCTCCCAGAAGAGATCAGGGCCCTGAGAAAGCTTTTATGGTTCCGCAGGGCCTGCGAGACGGAGCTCTTCCACCAGGCCTTCGATTAAGGGGCCGCACTATACACCGAAGAGTGTCCCTGTGCCTTGGCTCTACCATCCTTATTTCAGCCTGGGCTCGGCTTATCACATAATAGTTGGAGAACTGAGCTAGTGTGAACATCATTGGAATATACGGCTGCCTAAGCCATTTTATGGAGCTGCGGTGGCTCAAGTGGTTAAGACGCTGAACTGCAGGCTGTGGAAGGTCGGTAGTTCAGCAGTTCGAGACCCGAGTGTGCCGCATGACGGAGTGAGCTCCCGTCTCTAGTTCCAGTTCCTGCCAACCTAGCAGTTCGAAAGCAAGAAATTGCAAGTAGATAAATAGGGACCACTTCAGTGGGAAGGTAACAGTGAGGAATTTCAGACAGGCGCTTTCTCCCGGTAGGGAACCGATTCCTAACCGGGTTCTGGTCTGTCATTTCAGACAGAACCCGGTTGTGAATCGGTTCCCTACCGGGATGAAGTGGCATTTCACACAGGAAAGCCTCTCTTCCGTATAGGAACCGGGATCTCAACATTCAGCAGTGCTGCAGAACTGTGCAGAGAGTCTAACAAGGCTCACGGCTCTGCTGGAGATGGAGCTCCAGACGAGGCAGGGTGCTGAAACCTCAGCACCCGTGAGCCGTGAGAGTGGGAGGGGGAAAAGGAAGAGTGCGGGGTGTCCAAGGGAGAGGCTTTCACCCTAACATAACTAATCAGTTCTGTGTAAACGTTTAGTGTTGCGTTGCTTGGTTCATACTAACAGTTCATACTAACACAGTTTCTGATGTTGGGTTAGGGAGGGGTTGGGAGCCTTATCTGTTCAGAAATAAAATTTTGTCTTCTTGTTTTACAAACATAAGACCCAGATTCTCTATTGTTGTCTCATTTCTGCCCTTGGGGGGTTTTCTTTGGGGGGGGTGTGCCCTAGTGGATTAACAATCTGGGGTTCTATGTGGAGTCCTGCCCTAAATAATGGGATGGGGGGGGAATGTTCCCTCTAAGTCCTGTGAGCATAAACTCTGCTTAGTAACTTTGCTGTTATTAAAGGTGCAAGCAAGCAATTCGGATATGCCATAAAATCTCCCTTGGGACTCACAGCAGGGGGATATATCATCAAGGGTATTCAAGGGATATATCATTTACTGACAACTGTTTAAATAAAGCATTCACCTAATGGAACAAGAAATATCAAAACGTAAAAAGCAGAGCTACACACCACATGAAATGTCAAAAGGTTGCCTGGTCATTCCTGGCTACACTACTGCATTTGGGGAGGGGGGAAGGTTTATCAGATGGGGCTGTACACTTTGAGGTTTAGAATCAATTCCTGCCCTTAGTGACACATGAGGAGCCCTCACTACTAAACACATCATATTTACCAGTTCATTTGCTGAGAGTCATGGGGGGGTGGGTAGGGTGGGGTGGGGGGGTTTCCAGGTCCTAGTTGGATGACTCCAGTGGTTATTGGGCTTGAGCCTGGGGAGAACAGGAGTGCCAATGGAGTACAATGAAGCCCTCCCAGCCAATGCTCCCTCTAAGCTGTGGAGTCCTGTGCAAGAAATCAGTTTAGTGACTTTGCTGGTATGAAAGGTGCAAGCGAGCAATTGGGCTGCTGCATTTACAGGTGTTCCCTGGAGACATCCTTCAACGCAAGTCTATAAGGATTTGGGGCTTGAAAAAGCGGGCTGTCCACTGTTTAAAACGAGCTCGCAAACAGTTCCATCCCAAGCTTTCACTTCTGTCCCTTTAAATCCTCCAGTAAAATCGCGCGGTTAGGGTTCCATCCCAAGTTTTCACTTCTGTCCCTTTAAATCCTCCAGTAAAATTGCGCGGTTCCAGGCACGGCCAATGGGAGCGCTATCGCGATACATTGAAACATCGCGATAGCGAAAAAACGCGGTACCGTTATGCACGTTACTTTTTTACATTTTCAAACTTTTCTAGGAGCAATGGCAGCCCCCCAACGACGAGGAGCCTTCTGGTCGGACGAGGAGGTGGAGGCCATGCTCCACATCCTCATAGAAGGCAGAATGGGACCCCAGGTGATGCCCAGCACACACCTGAAAAACATGAGGCTGTTTTCCAGGGTGGCCATGTCTCTGGGGGCGAGAGGTCACCACCGCTCCGGGGATCAGGTCTGCTCGAAATTCAAGAGGATTAAGGGGGACTTTTATAATGCCATGGAGGCATTTAGGGGCTTACCCCCAGCACACTCCAGGCCCCCCTATTTCAACCTCCTTGAGGAGCTATGGATCCAGGCAGACCAGCCACACTGGACCCACCGAAGACACGCTGGTGAGTATTCCCCCCCACCACCACCCTGTATGTATCTCCTGTCCTTTCTCCGAGTTAGTTCTTGCACTTGGAAAATCTGTGTTCCATCCCCTAAATAGCCATAGTGCCTTTAAGGGGGGGGGGGGAATCAGGAAGCCTTGATCCCATATAGTTTGGAGATTGGGGGGGGGGGATGCTGGAGAATGGGTGCCTGAGCTTGGGTAGACCAGAGGCATCACTTGGAGAACATCCAATGAACATATGTAAATGCTTGCAGTTCCCCAGATTGTTTCAGAATCCAAGGTGGCAAAGTGTTATTTAAGGTAGAAGCTTCTGTGTGCATGCACACTTCATCAGATACAGTGAAGTGTGCAGGCACACAGAAGCTTCTACCTTAAATAAAACTTTGTGGGTCTTAAAGGTCGCCCTGGACCCAGAGTTTGATCTGCTGCCTCAGACAAGCTACCTCTCCTGGATTACAGTGCTATTTATGAATATTTTCCAAACCCAGATGGCAACCTTAGTTTGGAGTGACTTATGAGGTGCTGGATACTGAAAGGTGTTTGTGGACCCTCCTCATGACTATAACTGGTGGTTAATTTCATTTGCATATGCCATTTCTGTGATCTTCTGCAGCCGCCCGGCAGGGCACATGGGAGGCCAGGGCACAGCAACAGGTCCAGGAGAAGGAGGAGGAGGCGGAAGAGGAGCAGGGGGCCGCGGCTGCAGAGAACCCACCCCCTCCAGGACAGGAGGCTCCTGCGGCTGAAGGTATGCATATGTTCAGCAG